TCCTTCATGGACGCGAGAATTTGTCGGACATAACTCTTCTTTGACCATCCGTCACCATTTCTCTCTCTTCTCTTTCCGAAGATAAAAGCCAAATTAAGAGAGAGAAAAATATTTTCCTCATTACCTAATCAAAAACAAAACAAACAAAAAAAAGGTTTTTTTGCTCTGTGTTTGAGAAATGGGAAACTGTGCCATAAAGCCAAAGGTTCTCAAAGATTCCGAGGAGGATCTTGTTCCGGTGGAGCGAGAGTCGACGGCTCCGGCTGATCGTCACAAGGCTCCGGCGGAGAAGAGTGAGGATGTTGCTCCTAAAGCGGCGGAGGAAGCAGAAGCGGCGGCTACGGCGGCAAAACGGAGTGAGAAAGGAAAAGATATTTTGATTGAAGATGACATCGATGAACACCACAAACGCCAATCTCTCAGTCTCCTGTTTCATGAGGTAATTTTTTTCACATCAATTTTACAAAAAAAAGAAAAAAAAATATTTTTTATTTACTTTTGAAAAAAAAAAATACAGTAGAAATATTTGTATGTTATTATATGATAGTTTCAAAAAAAAGGGGAAAAAATTATAAGAGAAACATTCTTTATTAAAAATATATACTAGTAGTATTTAAGAAAATTATTCTAACGGTTATATAAGTAGAATATTATTGTGGTATTTTTAGCGTATCTTTCTTTATTTAATTTCTCAATATTGCTACAAAAGACAAAAAAACTTCTCTTGCCTTCGAAGTTTTAAGGACTCACTTTAAACAAAAAAGGAGAAATCTTTTAAATATTTAATTCTACATAAAGCGGTAATAATTCGTATACCGGCATTTCCGAACCGGACCGGTTAACTCAAAATTTCTGGTTATTTCACTTATTTCTATCGATTTGTGGTTGGTTTTTTTTTTTTGGTACAGGACAAGGCAGTAGTAGAAAAAGAACCCATCGATTTATCTCCGATAACAAAACCAGAGACAGATAACAACAAAACCGGTGCTTCTTCAGAGGTTTCAAATCTTGATACTTCTGCTCTAATGGCTTCCAATGTCAAAGATCCAGAAACATTCGACGTTGAGACTCGAACTGACCTCGAAGTTAAGATTCCAAAAGATTCTGAGGTTAAGACTCCTGAAACTCCTAAATCTAAAGAAGCTCAAGAACAAGAAGTCAATTTCTCAGAGAATTGGGAAGTTAAGTTTCCAGAGGAATTGGAAGCTAAGAAAACATCGGAAGCTGAAGAAAAGTCGAAACTTCCAGAAGTTTCTGAGGTTGTTTCTGTTCCTCCTGAGTTGTCTGAAATTAAGGTTACAAAAGAATCACATGTTCCTGAGGTTTTGGAGGATAAGAATGTTCCAGAAGTTAGGACTGATGAAGTTAAAGCTGCAGAGTCAGAGCTTCTTAAGGTTTCAGAGGTTAAATCTTCTGATGATTTAGAGATTAAAGTTCCAAAAGTTTTTCAAGTCAAGACTCCTGAAACATCTAATGTTAAGGTTACTGATGAATCTGAGGTTAAGGTTGATCAAGAAGCAAAGAAAGTTAAGGTTGCAGAAGAAACAGAGGTTTCAGAGTTTGTGGATGCTCAAGAGAAGATAGATAAACCTGAAATTTCGGACATTAAAGTGATTAAAGACAAAGAAACTGTGTTGCCTAAAACAGAGGAAGAAAAAGATTTATCTTTGGAGAAGAAGCAAGTCAAAGAGTCTACATTGTCTGATTTAGGAAACAAATGAAGTTTTCAAGAGAGAAAAACAGAGAAATTACCAATCAGGAGTAGCTAAATTATAGATTTTTAACCAAGTTCATGGTTTATAAACTAAAAAAAGAAGAAAAATTTGGTATTCTTTTAGGCAATTTCAATTTGTGTGTGTTTAATATCTTCTATGTTTAATTTTATTTTGTGTTTTTTATGGGGATATATAGTCTTATTTGTATGTCCCCAAAGTTGTACACTTTGCAGAAGATCTAAAGATCAATTTTTGTTTGAGAAAGGAAACAAAATTAAGAAATTTTGGTTTAACAATAAAAGACTAATTAGCTATGAAAAAAATATAATTTTAGTATGCAAAGAAAAAACAGAATTGTTAAGCATAATATATAGTTTGGTTATCTCTTTGGGCTTCATCTTTTGTTTATGTCTTGTTTATGGGCTTTTTATTATTTCATGCAAGTCCCTCGAACCCTCTGCGTGTGTGAGAGATTCTCTCTGCCTCTATTTTACTTGATATACTTGAACACAATCTTCTAGTAACTAATTTTAATTTTCATTTAAATGTGAGATAACATCACCATACTTTTTTAGTGATTGAGTCAACAAGTAAAAGTTACGAAGAATATTAGAAACAGGAAAAAACATACTATAAGAAAATCATCCATTTGAAGAAATTTGGCATATACTGTTGTAGTTTTTGTTTTTGTAATGGAAATTATTAACTGCAAAGTGAGTAAAAGTTAGGACGTATTTAGCCGATTGAGCAATCCAGTAGACATTCCATACACTTTTATAATGATCGCAAATAAATATACACTCATAGAAAGAAAACATGCAAATTGACAGAAACTTGTCGTTTCATACTATTATGATCAATATTTTACATATTATCATATAACTTTATTGCATTTGCTTTAAAACAAGGGGAACCTATGAAAAGTTAAAGACCACCTTAAGATAAAGTATACTACAATATGATCCGGTGACAAGAAAAATAAAGCAAATTAAAGATTTCAAAAGGAGAAAGCATAACTATATTCTAGGCTCTAATATGTGAATGATTAGCCACATACATATCTTGTACTAACAAGCCAAAAAATTAGCACAAAAATTTAATACGATCATTAATTCAACTAACGACAACCTTCACTTCATTGCAAACGACATCGTTTTCCTTCTGTAGATCAATCTTCTCACCACCAACGTTTATCTCTTCTTTGCTTTTTCCCCATAACACACAGTAGAGTCCTATGATCAACAATAATCCACCTACAATACTACAAAACATATGCACATAAGTTAGTTTATTGAACTGAAAATATTACTTATTTAAAAGAATAAAAAAAATAGAAGTTTTTAGAACCTTCCAAGACTGATGATCTCGCACAAGAGAATCGC